ATATATATATATATATATATATATATATATATATATATATATATATATATATTTATATGTATTAGATGTATATAAATACAAAGCAGCAGCAGCAGCAACAGCATCAACAGAAGAAGAGAAGGAAGAGGAAGATGAAGAAGAAGATGAAAGAAAGAAAGAAAGAAAGAAAGATAAAGGAGAAAGAAAATGTCGATGATCACGATCCCGTCGATCCTGTTCCTTGGTAATAATTATCGGCTGGGCTGTCAGTGCCAGGTCAATGGGAAAGCATTGGAACGACCACGAGAATCGACAGCTTCCGTGGGTCGTTAAACTTGAAACCATCTCTCTTTCTCTCTCTCTTATTGGACTATTGCTGATGTTGATGCACCTACTCTGTTGCTACTTCTGATGTTGGGTTGCTATTGATCCTGCTGCTGCTACTTCTGCTTCTGCTGTTGATGCTGTTGATGTTGCTGTTACTTTAAATTCTTTGCTTTTAAAGCCACCATTTGTGTATGTGTGTTTGGTTAGGTTAGTGATACAAATTCAACGAATTGAACTAAAGATGGGAAAAGACTTCATGTTAGCTAGACTTTTCAATCATGATCGATGCATTAACAATTAGAACGATTTCTTTCCATTCTAACTCGATTCCACAAGATTACTCGAAAGTCTTTCAAGTTTTAAAAGTCATGAGGTTCCTGTCTAAGGTCTGAGAGGTCGTCGATTCACGATTTATATTCCGAAAGATCGAAAGTTTAAAATCCACCTTTCAGTTGACTCTAAGTGATCTTGTTTTCTCGTGATCACGGTCAATTCCCCCGGCTCCGTTTCTTTATTTTTGTTTCGAGACATTTAAAATAGAGATTCTAATCATTTGTCGATCATATTGTGTTTTATGATTATACTAGTATATTTCTTTTCCGAATGATTTTTATTATTTATATTTTATTATCTATATTTAATTATTTATAGTAAATAATAATTTATAATTAAATGTCTCGTTTATTTGTCATTGCAGTAATTAAAGAAATGACAAATCTCTAATCCATATAATAATAATATAATTATAGATAAAAGTAAAACAAAAATTAAATAATATTATTCATAATTTTATTTTAAATTATTATATTATTAATATTTATAACATAAATTATTATATTATATATATATAAATTAAAATATAAATTATTATATTTTATTATAAATTATTGTAATTAATATTAAATTAAAATTTAAATAATATTTATATATAAATTATTAAATATAATATAATAATTTATGTCATAAATATTTATAACATAAATTATTATATTATAAATATTTTATTATAAATATGGATAATTATTATATTATAAATATATATAAATTAAAATATAAATTATATTTTATTTTAAATTTTTTAATTTAATATAAATTAAAATAATTTTATAAATCAATTTATAAAATTTAATTAAATTTTTTAATAAAATATTATTAATGAAAAGTTTCATTTCTTATTTTTTTTTTTATTTTTGTGCATTAGACAAAATTCGTCAGAATTGAAATTAATTAGAGAAATAATACGTAAAGTATTTATGTAATTAAGATCATTTTATGCAATTTCCGATTGTATTGTGCAAATAAGAAATAAGTAAAGGAAAAATAAGTAAAAGGTATCGTATTGGTTACCAGTTTCCTTCGTGATCCATGAATTAGCAATTAAAACGGAACACACAGCAATGCGATCGGTTCCACGTGGCGGAAGTCTCTCTTTCTTTCTCTCTCTCTTTCTCTCTTTTTTTCTTTTTCTTTTTTTACCCAACGTTAATCTCTAAGCGCCAAGTCAAAGGCTACTAACTAGAGAAGGTTCTTTCCTTTTAAGCATTTACCCGATTTCGATTATCTTCTCGAATATCATCCACATTGTTAAGACGGTTACTACTTGTAAAACGCCGAAAGTTTCACCATAAGAAATAGAATTTTACCATAAGACAGATTTCACTCTTACGATGAGAATAATTTACAATCGTATTCAATGAAATTTCAATAGAATTTTTTTTATTCTATAAAATTTCTTCCATTAGATTGATTTCTCAAATATATAAATATAAATTATTATAAATTTATTTATCAATTATTTGTCATAAAAAATCATTCAATTGTTATCTAATAAATTATTATTATTATTATTAATTGTACAATTTAATGTCACATATAAATTATCAAGAAAAATTATAAATTAATTATAATTGTTGAAAATATTCCATACTAAAAAAACAATATACGAATATAAATGTTGAATAAATAAATCATACAGTTAGTAATAATTATTTTGTCTAAAAAAAAAAAAAAATGTCTAACAATAATTCTACAATAATAAACGATTACATGATCTTAACGAACGATTTTGAATTTGTTATTGTTTTAGGAGAACGGGTGTCTGTATTCTCACATAAGATGGGGCGAAGCATTCGTCGTAGTTTACAGCGTTACATGTAAACGAAGTTTTCAAGAAGCAAGAGGATTATTAAAACAACTCGCGGATTTACGTTTGCCATCCTACTTTACTGCCCTCTTGCTAGGTAATAAGAGAGATCTTGACCATGCACGGTAAGCATTTATTAAGAATTATTATTTTAACATTTTCTGTTTTTTCCAATAATAATTTCTAGCAAAAATATATGAAAACGAAACACCCTTATTAGCACAAAATATTGAAAAATATTGAATACATGTATATTTAATATTAAAAAGACATTGAATCTCTTTTTAATATTAATCGTTAATGTATTCAATATTTTTCAATATTTTATGCTACTAGGAAGACTTGGTTTATTTTTTTAGAGAGAGATAGTAATAGAACAAAATTTAATTTAATTTTTTAATTTAATTTAATAACACCATCTGTAATTATTCTATGAGAAAAATTCTCATTAATCTCATTGATATACTGGAACTATAATTAAATAATTAAACAGACATCATAATTAAATGTAGCCATTAAATGTACAGCAAACGTTGTTAATTCGAGAAGATTAGGTAACTTCGTAAGAACATGGGAGGAGTTTACATATTACATATGTAACATGTAAACGATATGTATGTATGTATTTGTATGTATGTAATATACGTGTACGTGTATGAAAAGTATTCTATAACGGAACGTCGAAGAGGTCAGTGGACGATCTCGATCGAGAAGATCCTTTGCACGAATCGAGTTCCTTTCGGATGCTGCTGCGTTTGTATCTTCCTAAAGAAACTAACCAGAGAGAGAGAGAGAGAGAGAGAGAGAGAGAGAGAGAAATTTATTTTCGATTCTTGGCATTGAGCCATCTCTTAGGCCATTTAAAGCGGAAGATGCGATCCAATGACGAACTATTCGTAATTCGATTAGAGAGTAACTAATTTAAATTATATAATTAATACTTTATAAATATTTAATTTTAAATTAAATAAAAAAAATTTATTTAATACATTTTAATTATTTAATTTATTTAATACATTTTAATTATTTAATATATTTTATAATTAATCATTTAATATATACTTTAAATAAAATTAATTTAATTTTAATACTAATATCTTTATTCTATTATTATTATTATAATTATTATTATTTTTATTTTTATTTTCTTTTTTTTAAATTATATTAATTTATTATATAAATATTAATTATATAAGTTAATATTAAATGGCAGAACGTTATCACGACTTGTTTTTGTATTTACGAATATTATTTAGATTTACATTTATATAAAAAATTTATATATATATATAATAATTATAAAATATTGTATTTACTTTAATTATGACTCTAAATTAGGTTATTGAAATTAAAATAGCTTTTTACAAACACAATTCTCATAAATGTAATACTTTGTCCAAGGGGAATCCCCACTATTCGTATTGCATCGTATATTCCTAGCATATTCTTATTAATTACTAGATATCCCTACATAAAACGCGCCATCTACATTACATAGAACGCATTAATTAGCGCCAAATTTAAAATAATCAATGAAAGATCCGAAATAACTTCTTTTTTTTTTTATCAATCTGTTACGATAGATTCTTACAAATAATTTTACATATAATAATAATAATAATTTCAAAGAGTGAACAATGAATTTAAGATTAATTAAAGGATTTAGACGAACTGTGTGTAAATATAGTATGTAAGAAACAAATTAATAAGAAGAGAAATGGGAATAGAATTGAAAATACAATGACACGGTCTAAATTGAAATAATTTCAGGGTCAGCCTTAAGGCTATTAAATATCCATGTATAAATTTTATTCAGTATCATTCTCTCTTTCTCTCTCTCTCTCTCTCTCTTTCTCTCCTTTTTCTATTAAATTTTTAATTCATTTTGTTATCGAAAAATCTCGTTCACTTGTTCGCACATTCATCGCGTGTCTTTGCAACAAACCATCAACCAACCAACCAACCAACCTCCTTCCACCACCTCCTCCTCCTCCTCCACCTTTTTCGATGTGGCACACAGACGTATATTTATAGTATCTAAATAAGTGTGTACATGTATATATACTTTCTTTCCACGTGCTCGTTTGGCCTATTAATCTCTCAAGTCAGTTCACTTTCCACCATCGCGATTAGCGGCCGCGAGGTGTAACAGGATCCACGTTTGCCACCACTCGTCCTCGACTCCTTATGTTAGTTAGCTGAACGCAACCAGCATGATTTCGCGTGAGCCACGCGATTCGACGATGAGAACTAAAAACTCACTCCTCTCCATCCACTCTTTCTTATTTATTTATTTTCTTCATTTATTTCTTTATTTGTTTCACTTCTCCTTAGTTTGTTGTACATTTCGATTTTTTGTTCTTTTTGTTTATATCTTTTTTTTCTTCTTTTTTCCTTTTTGGTAGTATGTGTTGTATCGTTTATTTTCCGTATCCGCTTTTGCCAGCCAGTTTCACACACAGTTTTAAAGTAGCTCGCGACGATTTTACCGTCCTATTTTCTATCTCTTTCTTTCTCTATTTCACTATTCATATCATTCTTACTTTTTTGTTTTTTTTTTTATCTTATCTGGTCTATCAAAAATTTTTAATTAAATGTTGAGAGACGAAATCAAGTGAACGTTTGCTAAGATTTTTTAATTTTATATAGTTCATAGAATTATGAGACTTTATTTTGTAATATTTATTTTAACTAATTTCGTTTTTATTAAAATAATGTTGCAACCAGTTAACAATCTTATTAATTGGCTTCTCAATTTTCTTATATTTTGTTTTATTAATTCTTATATTACATTTAAAACAATTTCACCGTTGTGAAATGTAGAATAGTTTTCATAGACAAAGTATTATCCATTTTTATTTRTTTATTTGGTTTCTTGACTATTCATTGGCCTCTTCACCGCCCCCCCCTCCTACCCCTCTCTTTTTTTCACGTCAAGACACACGCTCGTATTGGCGGTGGTGGTAGCGTGAAATGCGAAACGGGGCGCCCCCGGTATCCACCAACCACAATCCGACATCAGAGATCGTTCGTAGCGAGACACCCGGTAGTGGTCGAGTGGTCGCTCACCTAGAAACCGTTCACGCGATCACCGCTACGACAGCAACAGATCTGTTTACTACCTATCCATCTATCTATCCATCTATCTATCTATCTATCTTTTCTTCCTATTTTTATTCATCTCTTTATTTCTATCTATAGTTTTATTATTTTTTGGTCATTTTTTTGGTCATTTTTTTTTATCTTTGACCGACTTGGGTGATCCTGCCCACTCTCAGCTCGACGAATCGATCACAACGATTTGTATGTGTGTGTTTATGTGTTTATGACGACACTCATATATATATATATCAATAATAATTTATCTTTTATACTATAATGTTTATTGTTGTTGTTTTCTTTTTTAATGCATTTTTTATCGATCTATTGAAATTTAAATTCCTTGAATAATGTTTCAGTATTATTTTTTTGTTTCTTTTTTTCTTTTATTCTCACTTTCATCAAGTCTATTACGTCTGTAGGTAATATGTTGAGGTTATGTTACAAGAAATATTTGAAAACATACAAAATTATTACGTTATATACATTATACAATGTATGATGTTATTAATATTAATTTTTATATCAAATTCAAATAAAATTTTTATTTAACATTAAATTATTTATAAAATATATATATTAACACTTTAATGGCCGCTCACACAATATGTGTGTGATAGCCGGAAACAACCATTATTAGCCGTTATTAATTTATAACTTTTTATATATTTAAAATTATATAAAATTAAATTTGTTGTTGTTGTTTTTTTTTTTATGTTCATTTTCTCGTGGATTTAATAAAGTTTTTTTTTAAATAATTTTTCAAAAATAATACCAACCCCTGGCTACGTTATGCGTAGACGCCATTAAAGTGTTAATGATTGCAACTTTAAAATAATTTACAAATATACAATAATCTTAATTTGGAATTAAAAACTTTAGAAAATTAAATTCCTATATTTCAAAATATTTTGTAAAAATAATAAAAATACTTAAACCAATGAACGAACATTAAAATAATTAATTCCCTAATATCTACTAAAATCTTTTAAAATTTTATCCTAATACAAACAAGTGTTAATGATTGCAGCTTAAAAATAATATACAAATATACAGTAATTCAAATTTGGAATCAAAAACTTTAGATAATTAAATTCCTATATTTCAAAATATTTTGTAAAAATAATAAAAATACCTAAAACAATGAACGAACATTAAAATAATTAATTCCCTAATATCTACTATAATCTTTTGCAATTTTATCGTAATACAAAACAAGATTTTTCTATGACCGAACTTATCAAAAGGATTTTGCTATTTTTCATTAATCTTCCTTAAAAATAAAACTAATAATGTTTAAAAAAAAAAAAAAAAGATATATGTTTCATCACTAAACTTTACGCAAGCAAGGGACAACGTTCAACATTGCGTCCTTTGACCAAAGTGAAAGTTAGAAAATAACTATTTGTGGTGTTCCTCTTCTTCTCTCTCTCTCTCTCTCTCTCTGTCTCTCTCTTTCTCTCTCTCTCGTCTTTCTTTTTATTTTTACGTATTCTTTCATCTTTTAAAACCAACGTGAGAATCTTCGAAATCGTGCGAAGAGAACTTCGTGATCTTTCCAACTTGTAACATCTTCCATTCTTTCCCAAGAATAACAAAACAAAATGAGAGGAAGTTACGTTAGTTTTCCTCCTTTTTTCTTGTTCATTCATTCTATTATTAGTTGACATAATCTTTTGTTGCATTACGTTAATTAATTAACGAGTAAATGAGATATTATAGAAATGACATTAAAAAAAAAAAGAAAAAAGAAAAAAAAGAAAAAAAAAGAAAGGAAATGGTTGAAAAGATTGTAAAACCTTTTTTCTTCTTTCTCCACGTCATTCAAAACAAATAATACATGCATTTACATGCATTTTACATGTACTTTACATGCACACACATACATATACATATACATCATAATATAAGTAAAATGAATGATAGAATCGATCAATTAATCAATCATACTTATATATCAGAAAGCTTGAATAACAATTCAACGAATTCGTTGAAAGATCTTTGACTCGATTCATTCCATGTATTG